TACACACAGCTAGGTTCGCACCTGTGTATACCTGTACACACAGCCAGGCTCGCACCTGTGTATACCTGTACACACAGCCAGGTTCGCACCTGTGTATACCTGTACACACAGCCAGGCTCGCACCTGTGTATACCTGTACACACAGCCAGGTTCGTACATGTGTATACCTGTACACACAGCCAGGCTCGCACCTGTGTATACCTGTACACACAGCCAGGCTCGCACCTGTGCATACCTGTACACACAGCCAGGTTCGTACCTGTGTATACCTGTACACACAGCCAGGCTCGCACCTGTGTATTCCTGTACACACAGCCAGGTTCGTACCTGTGTATACCTGTACACACAGCCAGGCTCGCACCTGTGTATTCCTGTACACACAGCCAGGTTCGTACCTGTGTATACCTGTACACACAGCCAGGCTCGCACCTGTGTATACCTGTACACACAACCAGGCTCGCACCTGTGTATACCTGTACACACAGCCAGGCTCGCACCTGTGTATACCTGTACACAGAGCCAGGCTCGCACCTGTGTATACCTGTACATACAACCAGGCTCGCACCTATGTATACCTGTACACACAGCCAGGCTCGCACCTGGTATACCTGTACACACAGCCAGGTTCGCACCTGGTATACCTGTACACACAGCCAGGCTCGCACCTGTGTATACCTATACACACAGCCAGGCTCGCACCTGGTATACCTGTACACACAGCCAGGTTCGTACCTGTGTATACCTGTACACACAGCAGCCAGGTTCGCACCTGGTATACCTGTACACACAGCCAGGCTCGCACCTGTGTATAACTGTACACACAGCCAGGTTCGCACCTGTGTATATCTGTACACACAGCCAGGCTCGCACCTGGTATACCTGTACACACAGCCAGGCTCGCACCTGTGTATACCTGTACACAGCCAGGCTCGCACCTGTGTATACCTGTACACAGAACCAGGCTCGCACCTGTGTATACCTCTACACAGAGCCAGGTTCGCACCTGGTATACCTGTACACACAGCCAGGTTCGCACCTGTGTATACCTGTACACACAGCCAAGTTCGCACCTGGTATAACTGTACACACAGCCAGGCTCGCACCTGTGTATACCTGTACACACAGCCAGGCTCGCACCTGTGTATACCTGTACACAAATACAGGCTCGCACCTGTGTATACCTGTACACACAGCCAGGTTCGCACCTGTGTATACCTGTACACACAGCCAGGCTCGCACCTGTGTATACCTGTACACACAGCCAGGTTCACACCTGGTATACCTGTACACACAGCCAGGTTCGCACCTGGTATACCTGTACACACAGCCAGGCTCGTACCTGTGTTATACCTGAACACACAGCCAGGCTCGTACCTGTGTATACCTGTACACACAGCCAGGCTCGCACCTGGTATACCTGTACACACAGCCAGGTTCGCACCTGGTATCCTGTACACACAGCCAAGTTCCCACCTGGTATACCTGTACACACAGCCAGGTTCGCACCTGTGTATACCTGTACACAGCCAGGTTCGCACCTGTGTATACCTGTACACACAGCCAGGCTCGCACCTGTGTATACCTGTACACACAGCCAGGTTCGCACCTGGTATACCTGTACACACAGCCAGGTTCGCACCTGTGTATACCTGTACACACAGCCAGGCTCGCACCTGTGTATACCTGTACACACAGCCAGGCTCGCACCTGGTATACCTGTACACAGAGCCAGGCTCGCACCTGTGTATACCTGTACACACAACCAGGCTCGCACCTATGTATACCTGTACACACAGCCAGGCTCGCACCTTTGTATACCTGTACACACAGCCAGGCTCGCACCTGTGTATACCTGTACACACAGCCAGGTTCGCACCTGTGTATACCTATACACACAGCCAGGCTCGCACCTTTGTATACCTGTACACACAGCCAGGTTCGCACCTGTGTATACCTGTACACACAGCCAGGCTCGCACCTGTGTATACCTGTACACACAGCTAGGTTCGCACCTGTGTATACCTGTACACACAGCCAGGCTCGCACCTGTGTATACCTGTACACACAGCCAGGTTCGCACCTGTGTATACCTGTACACACAGCCAGGCTCGCACCTGTGTATACCTGTACACACAGCCAGGTTCGTACATGTGTATACCTGTACACACAGCCAGGCTCGCACCTGTGTATACCTGTACACACAGCTAGGTTCGCACCTGTGTATACCTGTACACACAGCCAGGTTCGTACATGTGTATACCTGTACACACAGCTAGGTTCGCACCTGTGTATACCTGTACACACAGCCAGGCTCGCACCTGTGTATACCTGTACACACAGCCAGGCTCGCACCTGTGTATACCTGTACACACAGCCAGGCTCGCACCTGGTATACCTGTACACACAGCCAAGCTCGCACCTGGTATACCTGTACACACAGCCAGGTTCGCACCTGGTATACCTGTACACACAGCCAGGCTCGCACCTGGTATACCTGTACACACAGCCAGGCTCGCACCTGTGTATACCTGTACACACAGCCAAGCTCGCACCTGGTATACCTGTACACACAGCCAGGCTCGCACCTGTGTATACCTGTACACACAGCAAGGCTCGCACCTGGTATACCTGTACACACAGCCAGGCTCGCACCTGTGTATACCTGTACACACAGCCAGGCTCGCACCTGGTATACCTGTACACACAGCCAGGCTCGCACCTGGTATACCTGTACACACAGCCAGGCTCGCACCTGGTATACCTGTACACACAGCCAGGCTCGCACCTGTGTATACCTGTACACACAGCCAGGCTCGCACCTGTGTATACCTGTACACACAGCCAGGCTCGCACCTGTGTATACCTGTACACACAGCCAGGCTCGCACCTGGTATACCTGTACACACAGCCAGGCTCGCACCTGTGTATACCTGTACCACACAGCCAGGCTCGCACCTGGTATACCTGTACACACAGCCAGGCTCGCACCTGTGTATACCTGTACACACAGCCAGGCTCGCACCTGTGTATACCTGTACACACAGCCAGGTTCGCACCTGGTATACCTGTACACACAGCCAGGCTCGCACCTGTGTATACCTGTACACACAGCCAGGCTCGCACCTGGTATACCTGTACACACAGCCAGGCTCGCACCTTTGTATACCTGTACACACAGCCAGGCTCGCACCTGTGTATACCTGTACACACAGCCAGGTTCGCACCTGGTATACCTGTACACACAGCCAGGCTCGCACCTGTGTATACCTGTACACACAGCCAGGCTCGCACCTGTATACCTGTACACACAGCCAGGCTCGCACCTGTGTATACCTGTACACACAGCCAGGCTCGCACCTGGTATACCTGTACACACAGCCAGGCTCGCACCTGTGTATACCTGTACACACAGCCAGGCTCGCACCTGTGTATACCTGTACACACAGCCAGGTTCGCACCTGGTATACCTGTAACACAGCCAGGTTTTGCACCTGGTATACCTGTACACACAGCCAGGCTCGCACCTGTGTATACCTGTACACACAGCCAGGCTCGCACCTGGTATACCTGTACACACAGCAGGCTCGCACCTGTGTATACCTGTACACACAGCCAGGCTCGCACCTGGTATACCTGTACACACAAGCCAGGCTCGCACCTGTGTATACCTGTACACACAGCCAGGCTCGCACCTGTGTATACCTGTACACACAGCCATGTTCGCACCTGGTATACCTGTACACACAGCCAGGTTCGCACCTGGTATACCTGTACACACAGCCAGGCTCGCACCTGTGTATACCTGTACACACAGCCAGGCTCGCACCTGGTATACCTGTACACACAGCCAGGCTCGCACCTGTGTATACCTGTACACACACGCCAGGCTCGCACCTGGTATACCTGTACACACAGCCAGGCTCGCACCTGTGTATACCTGTACACACAGCCAGGCTCGCACCTGTGTATACCTGTACACACAGCCAGGTTCGCACCTGGTATACCTGTACACACAGCCAGGCTCGCACCTGGTATACCTGTACACACAGCCAGGTTCGCACCTGGTATACCTGTACACACAGCCAGGTTCGCACCTGGTATACCTGTACACACAGCCAGGCTCGCACCTGGTATACCTGTACACACAGCCAGGCTCGCACCTGGTATACCTGTACACACAGCCAGGCTCGCTCCTGTGACTTTCTTCTTCAATATGCGCAGCGTAAATACGTAATTACAAAGTTAATATTATCATCAGTCTTGTAAATCTTGTTCTTTTCACCGCAGGTTCCTAGGTATGACCTCTCCAAGGCTCTCTGAGCAGACTGTAGTAATAATAATATTATTTTTATATATTACAAGTACATGTACAAGGTATACACACCATAGCTGACATCAGTCACATACTACTATATAGAAAGCCACTTGTTATACTGAGCATTTCGGGCAAATTAGGTCTGTTTTGTCCCAGGATGCGACCCACACCAGTCCACTAACACCCAGGTACCAGTTTTATTGATGGGTGAACACAGATAACCGGTATAAACACACCAAATGTTTCCACCCTTACCGTGAATCGAACACGGATCCTTACCGTTTGAAGTGAGAGGTTTGCCACCAGGCCACCAGGTTCAGACTTTAGCTCCAAATACAGTGGTTCGAGTTTACAATGATCAGAACGTTTTCCAGGGGAATGTACATACTTGTTCATTGTGTCTCAGTCAATACACCGACTGATGGAATTTAATTTACTAACGATTACCTCATAATAGCTGTTAAATTTGATCGTAAGCATAAAAAAATATCCATGATTGTGCTTTAGTTATGTAACATGCACAAACGAATAGGCGGTGAAAGTAGACCTAGGAAGACATTCTCCGTGTCCAAACAGGAAAGAAATGGGAGTCTACCTTTACTGAGGAAGAGTAAAATCTTCTCCTGGTACCAAAGAGAAAGAAATTAAAACTTTTAAGTGAATTAAAGGTGTAGAGATTACTTACTCTTCTCCCACTTGTCCCTGAGGCAAGTGAGGGAGGACATGATCTTGACGCGGTGTGCCTGGTGCCTGACTCCCAGCTCCTTGATGGACGCCTCGTCGTAGTACAGGATGTCCTGCAACACAAACGGGACACAACACTCCAGTTAGTATACGGATAAAATGCATTAAGATAGTAAACCTGTAAATTTTGTATCAAGATGAATAATTAAGGTATAAGAGTTACCTGGGGTATACCTGAAGAGGGTTTTGGGGGTCAACGCCCCCGCGGCCTAGCTGCATTTTTCAAAATATTACCAGATATAAAGGCCAGTATCTTCTGCTTGTGGAGAAGCTATGCTTCGTACGTGTGTGCGCGCGCGTACACACTCTTGATATAGCTTTGACGGGTTTCCAGAGCTTTTATACTCTCAAAGACCCGCCCTGATGCAGGTTATTTCATTGCTTGCCTGGTCAACCAGGCTGTCGTTGCTGGCGACACACTGGCCCACATATCTGTCACAGCCTGGTTTACCCAGCACCGGGCGGATGAAATCGTCTAGTTTCCTGCTAAAAACTTCTACTGCTGTTCTAGCAGCGCTTCTGATACCTTTTGCCAAGATGTTTAAAAAGTCTGGAACCATGGATGTTGATACAATGTTCCGTTATCGTGCCCATGGCGCCCCTGCCCTTCACTGGGTTTATTCTACACATTCTCCCATAACTCTCCCTCCAGTATTTTGTCATGGTAGTGTACAGATTTAGGACAAAGCCTCTCAAGTACTTTCCTAGTATATATAATCATGTACCTCTCTCTCTCTCCTCAGTTTAACGAGTATTTATTTATAACTTTGAGGCGCTCTGATCTAAATCTTTACTGACTCGGTGAGGGCAGTAAATGATCTTTTAATCTGCTCTGATCTCCCTCCAGGCAAGAAATTATAAGCGATTTGAAGTGTCACGATTGGTATTATTTACTGTGTCCGGAAAGTCCTCGCTATGCATTCTGTCGTTTTCCTGGTTGTTGTGGCATGTGCCTTACTGTGCTCTTTGAAAGAAAGCTCAGATGTCATTATAACACTCACATTCTTCACAAAGACTATTTAGGAAGTTGGAACTTGTTATCTTTCAGAGACATGTTATTTTTCACTGCCCACTGAAATACTTAGCTAATATCTGCCGGCAATGTTTCCATGTCTTCTGCCGAGGTGATTTTCATGCTTATTTTGGTGCCATCTGCATATTAAGTTATGAGAGTGTGGCGATTGTTGTTATCAAGTGTGATGATAAACAGCACTGAATTATACAGTCTTTATCATCACACTATTTTCTGTCAAAGTTAAATATTCATTTGTCTTTTTTCCCAGTTATACCTATCACTCTTGTTTGCTTTCCCAGTTATACCTATCACTCTTGTTTGCTTTCCCAGTTATACCTATCACTCTTGTTTGCTTTCCCAGTTATACCTATCACTCTTGTTTGCTTTCTCAGTTATACCTATCACCTTCACTTGTCTTCTTTCCCAGTTATACCTATCACCTTCACTTGTCTTCTTTCCCAGTTATACCTATCACCCTCACATGTCTTCTTTCCCAGTTATACCTATCACCTTCACTTGTCTTCTTTCCCAGTTATACCTATCACCTTCACTTGTCTTCTTTCCCAGTTATACCTATCACCTTCACTTGTCTTCTTTCCCAGTTATACCTATCACCCTTGTTTGCTTTCCCAGTTATACCTATCACCCTCACTTCTCTTCTTTCCCAGTTATGCCTATCACCCTCACCTGTCTGCTTTCCCAGTTATACCTATCACCTTCACTTGTCTTCTTTCCCAGTTATACCTATCACCTTCACTTGTCTGCTTTCCCAGTTATGCCTATCACCATCATTTGGTGTGAAGTCACCTCATGATCGCATTTGTCAAAAGTCTTTGCGATATCCGTGAACACCACATTTGCGTTTTTTGTGTTTCTTCATTGCGTCCGTAATCCTGTCATAGTGGTTTAGCAGGTGTAGCAAGCATGGTTTCTCACTCTAAATTCACGCTGGTTTGGGTTGTGCAGGCTGTGCTGTTCCATATAATTTGTAATTTGGCGATGTTAGGTCTACTGCTTGTTATTTTTTGCAAGCTCTGCCGCCTCGTGTGCGTGTGTGTACTCACCTAATTGTACTCACCTAATTGTGGTTGCAGGGGTCGAGACTCAGCTCCTGGCCCCTCCTCTTCACTGATCGCTACTGGATCCTCTCTCTCTCTGCTTCCTGAGCTTTGTCATACCTCTTCTTAAAACTTGGTCACTCTCCCTGAACCATGAGCTTTATCATACCTCTGCGTAAAGCTATGTATGGATCCTGCCTCCACTACATCGTTTCCCAAACTATTCCACTTACTGACTACTCTGTGGCTGAAGAAATACTTCCTAACATCCCTGTGATTCATCTGTGTCTTCAACTTCCAACTGTGTCCCCTTGTTACTGTGTCCAATCTCTGGAACATCCTGTCTTCGTCCACCTTGTCAATTCCTCTCAGTATTTTGTATGTCGTTATCATGTCCCCCCTATCTCTCCTGTCCTCCAGTGTCGTCAGGTTGATTTCCCTTAACCTCTCCTCGTAGGACATACATCTTAGCTCTGGGACTAGTCTTGTTGCAAACCTTTGCACTTTCTCTAGTATCTTTACGTGTTTGGCTAGGTGTGGGTTCCAAACTGGTGCCGCATACTCCAATATGGGCCTAACGTACACGGTGTACAGGGTCCTGAACGATTCCTTATTAAGATGTCGGAATGCTGTTCTGAGGTTTGCTAGGCGCCCATATGCTGCAGCCGTTATTTGGTTGATGTGCTCTTCAGGAGATGTGCCTGGTGTTATACTCACCCCAAGATCTTTTTCCTTGAGTGAGGTCTGTAGTCTCTGGCCCCCTAAACTGTACTCCGTCTGCGGTCTTCTTTGCCTTTTCCCAATCTTCATGACTTTGCACTTGGTGGGATTGAACTCCAGGAGCCAATTGCTGGACCAGGTCTGCAGCCTGTCCAGATCCCTTTGTAGTTCTGCCTGGTCTTCGATCGAGTGAATTCTTCTCATCAACTTCACGTCATCTGCAAACAGGGACACCTCAGAGTCTATTCCTTCCGTCATGTCGTTCACAAATACCAGAAACAGCACTGGTCCTAGGACTGACCCCTGTGGGACCCCGCTGGTCACAGGTGCCCACCCTGACACCTCGCCACGTACCATGACTCGCTGCTGTCTTCCTGACAAGTATTCCCTGATCCATTATAGTCCCTTCCCTGTTATCCCTGCTTGGTCCTCCAGTTTTTGCACCAGTCTCTTGTGTGGAACTGTGTCAAACGCCTTCTTGCAGTCCAAGAATATGCAATCCACCCACCCCTCTCTCTCTTGTCTTACTGCTGTCACCATGTCATAGAACTCCAGTAGGTTACTGACACAGGATTTCCTATCCCTGAAACCATGTTGGCTGCTGGTGATGAGATCATTCCATTCTAGGTGTTCCACCACTCTTCTCCTGATAATCTTCTCCATGATTTTGCATACTATACATGTCAGTGACACTGGTCTGTAGTTTAGTGCTTCATGTCTGTTTCCTTTTTTAAAGATTGGGACTACATTAGCTGTCTTCCATGCCTCAGGCAATCTCCCTGTTTCGATAGATGTACTGAATACTGTTGTTAGGGGTACACATAGCGCCTCTGCTCCCTCTCTCAGGACCCATGGGGAGATGTTATCAGGCCCCATTGCCTTTGAGGTATCTAGCTCACTCAGAAGCCTCTTCACTTCTTCCTCGGTTGTGTGCACTGTGTCCAGCACTTGGTGGTGTACCCCACCTCTCCGTCTTTCTGGAGCCCCTCCTGTCTCCTCTGTGAACACTTCTTTGAATCTCTTGTTGAGTTCCTCGCATACTTCACGGTCATTTCTTGTTGTCTCTCCTCCTTCCTTCCTTAGTCTGATTACCTGGTCCTTGACTGTTGTTTTCCTCCTGATGTGGCTGTATAACAGTTTCGGGTCAGATTTGGCTTTCGCTGCTATGTCGTTTTAATATTGTCTTTGGGCCTCCCTTCTTATCTGTGCATATTCGTTTCTGGCTCTATGACTGCTCTCCTTATTCTCCTGGGTCCTTTGCCTTCTATATTTCTTCCATTCCATAGCACACTTGGTTTTTGCCTCCCTGCACCTTTGGGTGAACCATGGGCTCATCCTGGCTTTTTCATTATTCCTGTTACCCTTGTGTACAAACCTCTCCTCAGCCTTCTTGCATATTGTTGCTACATATTCCATCATCTCATTAACTGGCTTCCCTGCCAGTTCTCTGTCCCACTGAACCCCGTTCAGGAAGCTCCTCATTCCCGTGTAGTCCCCTTTCTTGTAGTTTGGCTTCATTCGTCCTGGCTTTCCTGCTTCTCCCTCCACTTGTAGCTCTACTGTGTATTCGAAGCTTAAAACCACATGATCGCTGGCCCCAAGGGGTCTTTCATATGTGATGTCCTCGATATCTGCACAACTCAAGGTGAATACTAAGTCCAGCCTTGCTGGTTCATCCTCTCCTCTCTCTCTTGTAGAGTCCCTTACGTGTTGGTACATGAAGTTTTCCAGTACCACCTCCATCATCTTAGCCCTCCATGTATCTTGGCCCCCACGTGGCTCCAAGTTCTCCCAATCGATCTCCTTGTGGTTAAAGTCACCCATGATCAGAAGCTTTGCCCTGCATGCATGAGCTCTTCTGGCCACTGCAGCCAGTGTGTCAACCATCGCTCTATTGCTCTCGTCGTACTCTTGCCTTGGCCTCCTGCTGTTCTGTGGAGGGTTATACATCACTGCTATTACCACCTTGGGACCTCCAGAGTGAAGCGTTCCCGCTATGTAATCACTTTCTTCTCCGTGCGTGTGTGTACGTGTGTATGTGTGTGCGTGTGTGTGTGCGTGTGTGTGTGCGTGTGTGAGCGTGCGTGTGTATGCGTGCGTGCGTGCTCATGAACCGACGCTGAGAAAAAATGAACTTTCGGAACTTAACAGACTTCAAGAACTAACAAAAGAGTAGAAATAGATGTGTGGAAGTGGAGAGACGTGGGAGAAATAGCCAAGAAAACTCACAGTAAACATAACTGAAATTGCAACAGAAAAA